TCGGGGGCGTCTTCCAGTATTCTTCCTCTCTTTCCATTTGTCTGGGGCAACGGGGCGAAAGTTTCCCTTTGTCCTTTGTCCTTGAGAAACATCTGGGCGAGTTTGTGGGCGAGTTCGTGATCGGGCTCTTCGATATCGCGCGGTGGTCCCCTCGTGGCCGTAAGAACGATCATGGAGAACACGGCCGTTCCTGGACCTGCTGGATCTGCTGACATGGCTGTGGATCTCGAGCAAGTTGAGCAACTTGGGTCACCGACCGAGCTGGCAGAGGAGAGCGACATGGAACATGATGCGGACGTCAAGCTCGAGCCCAAGGTGGAGAAAGAGAAAACGGAGAAGAGTGAGAAGAGAAAACGAGAGATTAAGAAAGCTCGTCCTGACGCCCAAGCTCAAGCGATACCGGATGATTCGGACGAGGATCTTGGGAGTCCTTCCAAGAAAGCCCATGGTGACGACAGACCTATCTCAGCCCGTGAGCTTCGTGAACTCCTTGTTGGGCATCGGGATGACATGAAACAAGCATGGCAAGCTTTTGAGGATCGCTTGGGACGAGTGGAACTACAGCAAAAGAACCAGGTGGGCGACATTGCCTCACTAGCAGGAAGAACCAAGATCAACGAGAAGGACATCTCCTCCGTCAAGAAGGCCCAGACCGTCGCCGATAAGAAGATTGAGAGCATCACCGCGGAGGTCGCCAACTTGAAGGTCCAGTTCGAGGAGCAGAAACAAGCTGTTCAACCACCTGCTGAAGGCGCACACCCTGGAGGGGGAGTTGGAGCAGATCCATGGGCTGATTACTACAACCGGCAGCTCGCAAGTGGGAGAATTGGAAATGGACAATCTTCGAACGATCGCCCCAACCCGGCTAAACCATCCACGCTTCCGTCTGGAGGGGGAGAGGGCGACTTTCTCTCGGAGGATGATAGGAAGACGCTTGTGGTCGGCGGGTGGCTGCAGGATACACGCAGGGCGACTATCGAGGAGGAGTCCAAAAGTTTCCTTGAGCATCCGGAGGTCAAACCGCTGGTGGATGTGGAGAAGCTGGCGATCTTCGGCCCCCGCAGAAGTGTAGGTATGTTAAAGTTTTGCTTGCGAGATGGTGAAAAATCTCTCGATGAGGTGAAGAACAGGATGTGGAAGGTTGTCAAGGCAGCCTCTCAGCTTCGAATTCCTCTGGAAAGCGCCAAGAACATGGGCGAGGACAGGGCGATTTGGTGCTCCTTCGTAAAAACCAAGCAGGCACGGACGAGATCGGCACACATCAGCATGGCGCGGCGTGTCACAATGGCCCTAGCGGCAGAGTCCAAGAACGAGGAGGGCGGTGTTCTAAACTACGAGCACACAACCACCGGCGCCTATGACATGGACTGGAACGCGGGAACAATCTGGAGCGGACTACACAAATTGGCCTCATCGACCCACAGGAGCCCGAAGGATGCCGAAATCATCACCATGACGGGCGGCTGGATCAACTTGGACGCTGTGGGACTCATTGCAGGATGCACTGTGGAGGCTGCCAAGGCAGCCTTTGAAAAAGAGCTGTGAGAAGGGGCGAGTTTCACCCCGCCCGATGGCGGGACGAATTGGTTGCCTGGCGAGTTTGAGCTGGGCGATGTGCATGACAAAATTCCCCGCGGAGTCCGGCAAGTGCGTGCAAGACGCAAATGGGGGCGATGTGGGAGCTGGAATCTGGGAGGACAGAAAATTGACCTTCTGGATGTTGCAGGACGTGATCTTGACATTGTCTTGGCTCAGGAGGTTTCACGGGGTGAAGTTGGTTGGGACACTACGAACACCGAACTGTTCCACTGGGTTCACCATCAGAGTCCGCGACAATGGCGAGGAGTAGCGATTGGGATCGCACATGACAAGCTCGACAGTGTCATCCATCGTGTTTCCACCTCTCGTGGCATCTGGTTGCTCGCTCGCCTTAAAGGCTTGGGACGAGTTGCCATTGGGGCCCTTCACTGCCATACTGGTGCCACTAATGCCATTTATCAAGCCGCTGTACTACAGTTCACACAAGAATGCCCCGGCCGATGGAGACAATACCCGCTGATATGCGGCATCGATGCGAATGAAGAACTCAAGTGGATGGAAGGCGATGATTGCAGAATCTCTCTACGACGAGGATCCACAAACCTCGAGCTCCTTTCACACCAGATGCTTCACCTTGGGGCCTGCCCAATTGGCCCAACTCGTGCCCAGTGGGAGTGTCCTTCTCACTTCCCGCGAGATGAGACAAGAGTGGGCAGGCAAATTGATGGAGTCTGGTCAAGGCTACTCGACACAAATGAAGTGAGACTTGATGCTGAACGACGCCACGTTATCGGCACCGACCATGCCCTTGTCTACGTGGATCTGTTCTCCAATGGGAAAAGTCAAGATCGATGGGGTCGAGATTCTCGTCCTCGCTATCTTTGTGCCGACATCCCATCTGTAGATATTCAGACCGCGGCAGACCTCGCCCAAGTAGCTCGTGCCTGCACCTGCCCAAGGAAATCATTGGCCTATGAGGATACCGATGAGATCAAGGACATGATTCGGGAGGCCCGCATCACCAATGAGAAAAAAGACTGGAAACGAGTTCATAAGGCTAGAAGAACGGCCAAGCGAGCGTGGGAGCAACAAAGGCTTAGCAACATCCTGCACGGTGACTGGCACCAGTATCGGGCACTCCAGCGTGAAAAGAAACGCCGAACCGGATGGTGGGGAAAGATGCTACAAAACCAGTCTGCGTCTGACAACACTGAGAAAGTCAAAGCTCACCTTAGCTCCAAGCTTGTCAATGAGTTCGGCAAGGATTGGGACGAACTTCTCCAGATGCAAATTGATGCGATCGAGACACGCAGCATCTACCAGCCCTTCACCATGATTGAAGTCCGCGAAGTCTTGCAAGACATGAAGGTGAATAGCGCCGTTGGGCCAGATGGCATCAGTGTTTCTTTCCTTCGCCATGCCATGAGCCATGACATTGTCGCCCCTTTGATATTGGACCTCATCAATAACATCATTGAATGGGTCGACATGCCTGACAACTGGGAAGATAACTTCCTTGCCTTGCTCGCCAAAGTTGACTACCCTGAGAAGCCGGGTGACTTGCGCCCTATCTGTGTAAGCTCAGCGTTCCACAAGCTCATTAACAAGCTTGTCTGCACGAGGGCGCTCCCCAGCATGAGGATTGGATCGCGCATCTCAGGATGCGGCAAGGGGAGACAGGCCGCAGACATCATTGGGACGATGACTCGACTGAGAGACCTCACGCAAGAATGGGATCTCCCTATCCTGCTTTGCAAACTCGACATCTCGGGCGCGTTTGACAAGCTGGACAGACAGAAAGTGGTCGAACTACTTCGGGAACGGCTTGGAGGGGGAGATCTTGATCATGAACTCAAATATCTCATGGCACAGTTGAGAACTTACAAACTGACCGGCAAGGTGCCAGGCGGGGGCGAGATCTCTCTTTCCCCTAATATCGGCATAAAACAAGGGGCTCCAGAAAGCGCGGAAGTCTTCGGTCTTGTCATGGACGCTATCCTCACCCAGCTGATTGAACACGCGGGCTGGAAGGCCTTTGGTCGTCCCCTCCCAGGACTGGACGTTGAACTGGTCTTTTACCAGGATGATATTTTCCTGATTGAAACCAATTTGGGGCGACTGGGGAAAAGGGTGAAAGTGCTTGAACGCTGTCTTCTTCGTCATGGGTTGAATTTAGCGCCAGAGAAGACCAAGATTGTGGCATCAAGCTCATACCGAGGGGCGAGAAGAGCACTCGTGGGAGGAACATTCTTTTCTGTCGCGGACGGCCATGACTCCGTTCGCGTGCTTGGGATCTCCTTTAACTTGCAAGACTCAGCGTCTCAACAGGCGAGGGAGATTCTACAACGTACCCGTGGAGCAGCGATGTGCCACAAAGAACTTCTTCGAGGGCGAGCTAGCTGGGAGCGAAAGGCGAACATGATCGGGACCCTCGTTGAATCACAGTTCACCTGGACGGGAGGAGCTCTACACTGGTCGCCGGAAGATCTTCGACAGGCGAATACCCTGCAGCTCCATGTGCTGCGCAGTGCATTCAGGATAGCAAGAACCAAAGATGAAACCTGGGCCGACTGGAACACCCGCAGCATGAGACTCTGCAGAGCGTGGCTTGCCGCTCAAGGACGTCCGCGTTGGTCTGCACGATTGCTTACCCTGCAACATACACTGTTGGGCCATTGGGCCCGCATGCAGGAAACACTAGGCCCCGACAAAGGCGCCATTCCGTGCCTGCCGATGCGAGCATTCCAGTGGAGAAGCACTGCGTGGTGGCGAAAACAGCAGCAACTCACACCACGGACAGGGGTTCGGCATCCTCGCAGAGTTTATATCTCGAACGTCGAACAGATGCTAGCTGCTACGCATGGCTGTGAATGGCCGGACCTTGCTCAGAATCGGCAAAGATGGACAGCCTGTCGCCAAGAGTATCTCAACAGATGGGACCCAAAGTGGTGCCGTGGACGTCAACTGGCATTGCAAAACTAACTGTGGTGATTTTGAGTGCTTCGTTGGGTTATGAATAAGGATGATGTGAAGCCCCGCCGGCAAGCGTGGCTGAATCGCCAAGTCCGTGACCTGACGATCCCAGTCTGACAATGATACGATTTCTGGTGAATCACGCCTTTCTTTACTTACCATGTATGTATCGATCCGAACCAAGTTGTCATTTGCACTTTCGAGATGTTTTTCCTCTTCAGTCTCCGAATCGCGCACTTTCCAGCCTGTGAATCACGACATGTTCGACTCATCGCCCTTGCAGCCTACTCCGCTCGTAACCCGTGGTCTGGCTCTAGGTGAACATCAAGCCCTTTGTTCCCTCGATATCTTCATGATGGCCTCCGGCATGGCGCTCCCATGGCTGCTGAAGCTCGTGGTCGCTTGGAGCCTGCCCTGGCCAGCCGAACCCCACGCCGCTGTGGACACGAGGTCGCCTCCACCAAAGTGGATCTGCGACACAACCGGCCCGGCTGCTCTGTCGCTAGGGCCCTCTCTAGCGATGTCGACCTCTATGTGCTTTTGGACCTCGTTCTCGACCTGTTGGACGCCCTGCACAACCAGTTCAGCAAGCACCTCTCCCACATGGGTCACTTCGACATCCTTGAACTTCATGGAAAATGGCACTGCCGTATGGACACCGCGGACACCCGGCCATGGGGCGATTCCCTGGACATCTTGGACATGCGGATGCATGGCCGGCTTTCCTGGGGCGCCATTCTGGACTACCTGTACAACAACCTCGACGAGCACGTTCTGGACTACCTGCACAACAACCTCGACGTGTACGTTCTGGACTACCTGTACAACAACCTCGAAAAGTCCGAGCACACTGCGTCCTTTGGGGTCCCATGGGAATGCCTGGATCACAATATCCTGGACACCGTGGACGACCAGCATGGCCGGATCATCGTTGGCACTGTTCTGGACTACCTGTACAACGACCTCGATGAGCACGTTCTGGACTCCTTGTACAACAACCTCGACGTGTACGTTCTGGACTACCTGTCCAACAACCTCGACTGGGGCGCCGTTCTGGACTACCTGTACAACAACCTCGACGAGAACGTTCCGGACTACTTGTACAACAGCCTCGACGAGCACGCTCTGGACTACCTGTACAACCGCCTCGACAAGTACGAGCACACTATGTCTTCTGGGGACCCCTGGTAATGCCTGGATCACAACATCTTGGACACTGTGGACGACCAGAAGGGTTGGCTCATCGTTGGCGCCGTTCTGGACTACATGTACAACGACCTCGACGAGTACGCTCTGGACAGCTTGCACAACAACCTCGATGTGTACATTCTGGACTACCTGTACAACAACCTCGACGAGTGCGAGTACATCGTGCCCTCTGGGGGACTCAGGAGATACCCGGATCACAACATCCTGGACACTGTGGATGATCTGCACGGCTAGCTCTTCTTTGGCGCCGTTGTGGACTACCTATGCAACAACTTCGACGAGTACGTTCTGGATTACCTGCGCAACTACCCCACCGAGTACAACAACCCCAACGAGTACGAGCACATCATGTCCTCCGACACCCTCGGGAGATGACCTGACCACAACAACCATACCGACCACTTGGACCACAACATCCACCGCGACCTTCTCGTGGACGGCATGCAGTTCGCCGGCCTCACCCGTGATAACCTGGTCAATGAGCCCTTCCACAGTGACCTCGCCGGAAATTGAGCAAGGGATGGAAGCGAATATGTATGCGCTGGAATCCTTGGGGTTCCTTGCCTCACCGAGAACTACCACCACCACCAGTTGGGGCGAGAGTTCGTCGTCGTCCTCCTGGCAAACTCCCCAAACAGCAACCTCGTCCACAGCGGCCAATGCTTCTAACTTGGACCCACGACGACCTTGGACTCAGGCTGAAATCCAAGAGTACATGAACAGTGTCTGGGAAGATGATAGTCCATGGCACAATCAGGCCCACGCAGCCAGCTGCTGGGACGAACATGCTCAGCCAATGGGGCAGGAAATTTGGGATATGGAGACCTCTCTATCTGCCCAGCTGACAGAGACCATCCCTGCGGAACTACTACCAGAAGTACTTGCCCAAACTCAGCAAGATGCGCCCCTGCCGAATGACATCCCAGCAACGTGGTTGGCAACAGAGGCTTGGCCAAACATGCTTGATGCAGGACACGAAAGTTCAGCCACGACCCCCAGTGGAAACCAAACCATGATCAATATGCTCGTTTGTAGGGTTGGATCCGCGGGGGCTGGATCAGTGGGCTTGGCAAAAACCAAAGTTATCAAAATCAGAAGTCAACCTGAACAAAGACTTATTGGATACGTTACGACACGGTAGGTTTGTCCAGAATTAATGTAACTGGAGATTTGCAGACACTGAAAATTGTTGAGAAAACCATGAAAAAATGTAGTATTATTTCTGTCCAAGCCGGTGTGTGAACAGAGCAACCGGAAGCTGTGCCATTCCAGTGACTCCTTGCACCGACATTGGCACGTCGGGCAAGGTCACACTAGATGGCTGGCCTTTGTGTCCCCAAGCAAGGAAACTTGATGGCTCTTCGGGTGAGAGCCCGGCAACACCAACAGGTTTTCGCAAGGCTGAGGACGTCTGTGCAAGAGCCGGCAGAAGCTGCAAAGGTGTGACTCCCAAATTGTCAACAAGAAATTGTTCCTCAAGTGTGTTCACTTGTGCCATGCCACTGACCCCTTGCACCGACATGGGCACATCGGGCAAGGTCACAGTGGATGGCATCTATTGTTTCCTCACACTGCTCAGAACAACCTGTCAACTTAAACAGGTTGCTGCAAGGTTGAGGAAATCTTGAGTCAGCATGGCATTGCTTGGCAAGGTTGACGATTCGAATTGAGGAAATCTTGAGGAATCCTCCTCAAGTGGGGCAAAGAAGGCAAGAACGACGTCCAAGGCCCTGATTTGCCGGCGCATACTCATTCACTGAAAGAGCCATATCAATTCTGTTCCTCCAAGTGTGTTCACTGAGACAGCCACATCGACATAAGGCTGCAAGCAAATCAGACTTGTGTCTCAATTGTTATGCAACCTTCTCATCAGTCATCGCACTGTTTTACCTGTGTTGCTGCATGGCCTGCTGTTGCTGTTGTGTCACAGCATTCACACCCCAAAAACCAGTCACAGCAGATTGGCTTGAATAATAAAAAGCATGCAGCTCAGTAAGCTATGAAACGTATTTTGGCTGACGAAGCGGATCGTCACAATAGATTCCGGACAATCTGCGCAACTGCTTCCCCGAACATCGAAGTGTATTCCCCACTAGCCTGTACATCTGCTGGCACACCGGTGAAACGGCCGTCTTCGCCTCGGTTTACCAGACCAATGAAAGCATTATGATCTGGTTTGGGCCTGGCCAGGTTCTCAAAATGAAACCCAGGCAAATGCCACAGTTGCAAGGGCTTCACTGACTTTCCGTTAAAGGCACCCATGTAGGTGCAAGTCTTTTCGAAGCCACAAAAGGATAGAACTGTTTTGACACACTCGAGGTGCGGCATACAGGAGCTGAGGGGCTGTTCCACCACAGGGCAGCACTCACATGCCCATCCCAGGAAAATCCCAAGTGAGCAAACAAGGGCCTGACAATTTCCCTGCAATACAAAGTCCCGCTCAGTCCATGCGCCTTCCCAGCCGTTGCTTTCAGCACGTTGGGAACGAAATGAGCACATAATGACAAAAGAAGAGCACGGAGTGCCCCACCAATGCAAAGCCTTCTTCTCACACGCTGTGGCTGCATCCAGAAACAAACGCAACCCTTTCGCTAGCAACATGTTGTGTTCGTCATTGTAGAGTATGTCAAAGCTGAACCCACGGAGACCGGATTCGATCAATTTCTTCGAAAGTTTGGCGCTCCCTGCATAGTATTCAATGTATTGCAGCAACCCCGCACATTGATGGGGTCCCACATCGATTGAAGCTGCTTCAATCTTGGCTCTGTTGTCATAGCTACGGCTAATGATGCACATCAGCTGACACTCGATGGTTCGGTTCTTCAATGCGGGATAAGCCAATCCAATCAGCCCATGCCATTTCATGGCCACTCTGCCCACATTGAAGTCCTGGTCGTAGCGCAAGAAATTTTGCACCAAAATCCTTGCAACCATGAGCCTGTGACACCAAGGCTCTGTGGACCTGGCCAGCAAGATCAATTGAGGATGATGATAAGTTTATGTAGTATTACATTAATTAATGAAAAATTCAAATTATAACAAAATCTGTGACCCATAACACTTTGAACAGACTCCGGCCTTGGGGAGAAAGACAAGGAAGCAAACGGAAGGAAATGCGAACATTGCAATCGCGATGTTTGCTCGAAGACGTCCTCTACCCAAGTGTCAAACCGATCATCAATTTCATCAGTTCCTGTAACTGTATCGGTAAAATTCAAGGCAGGAAGAGTACACGGGCGCTCCACTGATCTACCTCCCAACTCAAATGACTCTGCAGCATTCTTTTTCCTTTTGCATTTCTTGCGTGCTGGCTTCACAGGCCCAGCACTACCACTGAAGACCAGCGATGATCCCAGCACATGCTGGCACGGCCACTGGAAATTGGACATGTTGGTGATTCACTGACATCAATACATTGATTTGTTGTCCCACATAACTTTAAACCATACCTCTGGTCCAACTTGAGCAACAAATGGATTCAATGCTTGCCTGGCATATCAAGCACATTCCACAAACTAACAGGACACAATGTCAGGAAGGCTTGTTTTTGCTGATCGCTTTCTCCCCGAGCAATCTGCAGCATAACTATGGTGAGACTTCATGATTCATGTCATGTCATCTTCAATTGCACACTTCAGGCATTCAGCAACTGTAATTGCAACGTAACTGTAAAGACTCAATCACAGAATGAACAGCAACTGCGCACAAGCTGAAGCCAAAATTGTGAATCGAACATGTTGCCGCTATGACAGCAGGAGCAGATTCACACACATTGGACTCGGCTGGATGAACTCACTCCCTGTGACTTCTTGAATCGACCGAAGACTTGAAGCTAAGAACACGATACTTGCATACATGACATTGACAGAAATCTGCAACCTGCTGACATGTTTTCCCCTGTGATGTGTTTATCACCAAAAAAAACTGAAGAGGCTACTTGGCATACTTTGTGGGCGGAGGCATTGCGTCGATAATCGGGGCAAGGCGTTCCAGGACAGCCTCAGGGATAGTGCCAGGCTGACAATGAGGCGGCAGTTGCCTTTCAGGTTTGGCCTTCTCCCACTCTGTCCACGCCCAGCGATGCACTTGAGCCAGTGCTTGCTTCCAGTCTGATCTGTCGTTAGCAAAGCTTTTGCTGCAAGACTTTTTCCCCTCACTTGACACATACTGTTTTGTCATGATCTCGGCTTTGAAGCGATGATCGTTGAAGCTGAGACGCAACTTGAAGTCTTCGGGTGGATCCAACTCCGACAGGAAGTCGGGAGTGTTATTCAAGTGTGGACCATGCTCGCGCGGAGCACGTTGCGATGCCTGGCCACGATGTGCAGCATCATCAAGGACCTGCTCAGGGGCTGATCCGCTCGAGGACGAGGCCTGTGCCATTCCACTGTCCCTTGGCCCGGATATTGGATCCGGCAAGGTCCCATTGGATGGCTGTGCTTGCACTTTTGTTTCCTCGTGTGCGACCCCGGCACCACCAAGCACAGAGTGTGGACGGGAAGCATCGACACAGGGCTCCTCCGCCGGGGGGGCGGGCTCTCCTTCACCAGTGTGTGGACTGGGAGGATGGGCGCAAGGCTCCGGTGAGGGGGCGGGCTCTCTTGGACTGGGAGCATGGACACAAGGCTCTGCCGGCAATGAATCAGGATTTGTTCGATCGTCCATGACATTCATGTCCAACAGCTGGCTTTCCAACTCCTCTTTGAGTTCAGCGATATCTGGATCTTCTTCCACTGCTGGTCCGGGCATTTGTTCGAGCACCTGCTCCTTGCGTTTTCGTGACGCTGCTTGCCTGCGAGCCAGCCCTTGCAAGCCCAAAGCTGTGCCTCTTCCAAACCCATTGCCTTTTCCACGGCCTTTGCCTTTTCCTTTGCCCTTGCCTTTGCATTTTGCTTTGGCACACGGTTTTGACTTTGCTTTGGCTTTTGCCACAGCTCTCCTCGCTCTTTTGGCCTGCAATCGAATCACAATTGAGTCACAATTGAGTCACATTTGAATCACAACAATTGAGTCTAAGCCTAGCTCAGAAACTCACTGGAAGGTCTTGCCAGGGTGCCTTTTGTTCTGCAACCTTCTCATCCCACATGTTTTGCCAACGTTGTTGCTCGGCCTGCTGTTCCTGTCGCATCAGGGCTTTCTCCAAGTCCTGGAAATCCTGTTTATCTGAGGGCTCCATGTTGTCCAACAATGCTGATAGAAAACCATCAGGCATA